CAATATCCACTAAGAACAACAACAACAACAACCAAAACAAAAACATACAAAACAGATTTTAACGGTAGCCCAAAAGGGCTTGTTAAGGTTTTTCTACGCTCTCGCTGAGCTCGTAGTCTACCAGTGTGGCTATTGCAACTTATTCCTGCTCTTTTTTTTTTTTTTTTTTTTTTTTTTTTTCTGTGTCTTTTTAGTTTTATTAATTATCAAGCATTCCTTTCTTCGCACTGATGTCATATACAATTCAACTGCAAAGTTACAAAAAAATTAAAACAACAGCATGTGTTTAGAATTTCCGAGGAAGTATTAAGTGTTGTCATACATTTTCCTACTTTTTTCTTTCAATTTTTTCTCAGTTAATCATATCAATGTATAGTTTTCTTAGTAAAATGGTTGACAAGTTTTTTTCTTTTCTTTTCTTTCTTTTTTTAATAAACGTTTTGTGTGTTAAACGTATTAATTAAATGTCATGTTCTTCGCACTTACGCCACATAAAATTCAGTTGAATAGCAAAATCACAAAATATTTAAAAGCAGCATATTTTTAGAATTTTAGACACACAGTCTCGCGCGCTGGAGATAGAAATGTTTTAATCCGTACAGTAGTGCCGCTGCTCGCTTTCAAATCGATGTTTTTTTTTTTTTTTTTTTTTTTTTTTTTTTTTTTTTTTTTTTTTTTTTTTTTTTTTTTTTTTTAAATTCATTAAAATTTTACAAAATGTGAAATATAAAATTCGAAATTCAAAATTCGGACTTCCAGGTGCACATGTTCGGGTGAAGGACTACGTTTTTCGAAACTGCATGGCCCTAGGTACCGTCGATTTTCACAGTGCGAGAAACATACACACATTCATTCAGTTTCTTAACTATTTAATTTCTTTAAAAGTAATGCAGGACGATAATATTTCGTGGCAGCTATTTAAAAGATGATTCCGACATTTAAAGTGATACACAGCCAAATTCCATTTCGAGACTAATAGCCCATTCGGGCTAACGCGTTTCTGAGCTAAAAGAATATATCATCCAGGAGATTTTACGATATTTTATGTATTAAGAGGAAAGGGTACGTATCGCCACAAAATAAATTTTCGAAATTTTTTTGTACAAAATCCTCAATTATAAATTTGATTGGAATGCACGTTCGTTTGGTGAATTTAAAATGCTTTATTGAAAATATTAATGGTCCTAATATTTTAATTACACTTCTTTGTAAAATCCAAAGAAACAGAAAAAAGTAATTTTGAGTAATAAATTTAATTAATAAATTTTTTAGAAACTTTCTTGAGAGCAATTTTGCCAATACAGAATATTGAATGTTCTTTAATTTTCATTATAAATAGGAAAATTTGTCGATGAAAAGTTAAGGGAAACACTCTGCTGTTAATTAATAAAGCCTAGATTAAGAAAAGTTAATTTTAACAACAGATTTCTGACTTCTATAAATCGGTTAAAATAACCTCTCGAAAGCTATAAGGAGAAATTTGCTTTCGAACAATACTCCGAAATATTTGTTATACCTTCGAATTAATACAAAAAAAAAAATTGTTACTAAATTAGATAATTAGATAATTAGATATAGAACATATTACTGGTACAAATAAACAATGAAATATCATAATGTTTAATGCATTTTCGTACGACTCAAAATGCCTTTGCGGCAAAAGAACTTATATCAAAGGGATTCAAAAACAGCTTGTTCTGGGAGAACCGAAAGGCTTGGATTTAAAGGAATGTTTCCGGAGGAACCCTAGAACTCAAATCTTTCTTAATCGGGAAAGTCTAGTATTTTTCGGCTCGAAACGGGAGGCTCAACCGATGCCTGATTATTTAGAATTAGAAGTAGATATAATATTTGTGCAGAGTTTATTTAATTTCTGCGTTAGGAAAGGTATGTATGGAAAAAATATAATTGATTCATATACAGTCTGTTTTTTTTAATTTATTTTATTATTATTATTATTATTATTATTTGCGTGACGAATTCTCTTGAGCCGCACGCGATCATATTCGGTTTGTGGGAACTGAGCGTGCGCTCGTTCAACTGGCATTCTCCAATGACAGATGCGGAAACAGAACCGCCTACAATCGCACAATTGGCGCCCAATCGCATTCCCACAGTCGAAATGGAAACGGCATTGCACAGTGCGCAAGCGCTTCGCAATTTTCCAGGGCGTCGGCTTCGGGCGGCCGCGGCTGCGTACTTTTTCTCGAAATTTTAGGGAGGGGCAAGTCTGCTCTTCCTTTCCCACTAGCGATGTTATTAGAATCACAGACAGAGTTTTTTTTTTTTTTATTATTATTATTTTATTGCGGCCCTCCTTTCTCTATAGTACCTTCGCGAGATTGGCTTGGGAGATAAATGCTTTCTCTCGGATTTTGAAAGTAAGTCACGTGAAATGTTTTATTGATAACTCAGGGACTTTTTGCAAAATGATTGTGGATTGTAGTAGAATATACAAATTAGAATATATAATAAAATCTCGACAAATTACTCTATAGAATATAATAATACTGCATAGAATATATAATATTGAAATACTGTTTAGAACAGGGCTTCTCAGCCAAGAGAAATTTCATAGTTTCGGGGACTGCGCTCAGCATTCGTAGTTTTAGAAGATCGGCCATCTAAAATAGCTATAAAAAAGAAAATATATATAATGATTTTAATCAATCCATCAATATTAATCAATGGTTTCATGTGTCTAGGTAGTAATTAATAATAAGAGGCATGAAGAACTGCGTTTATTACTTTTAAATCGCTTCGGTAATCAGTGATCGACAGATTAAACTTAAAAGAAGTGTTAAACAACGTACTCTTTGCCGAATGGCAACATATAAAAGATAAAAATATTTTATCTCGGGCATTTCTTTCAAATCGCTGAGTTTCGGAATCAATTTGAAACGTGAATATCCAACAGTGTATCAAGTGGCAACCCACTGATTTTAAATAGCTGAATTTGTTAATAAAAAATTCGTTAAATTTGTACAAAATATGAAATAAGTTTTTTAAAAAAAATCGAAATTCGAACTTTGAGGTGCACACAATCGGGTGGAAGACTAAATTTAAAATTTGGCGGCTGTAGATGCCACCGTTTTTCTACAATGCGAGAAACATACAAACATGAGTAGTAGTATAATAAAAAATAGAGTGTACGCGTCTAGAACTGAAAAATTTATTTAAAAACTTTTGATAATTATTAAAATATTTTAAATCAAATGAATGTTACCGTTGTTAAAAATGGAATTTCTAATGAAGATTTCATTTTGAAAATGGCGGAAGTACGGCAAATACATGTAGTTAATTTCTACGTCATTGCTACTTAATTATTAATTATAAATATTAGGGCTAATAATACTTATTCTTAGTACAACGAAACATTTTCATCGTTTCATCCCCACTTGGTTTCAAAGAAATTCTTGAGCAAAAATGAATTTATTCGTAGTATTTTCTAATTGAGGAAAGGAAGAAATAAAATAAAACTAATCTAACTCACGAAGATTTACTGCTCTAATATATGCAAAACGTTTCTAAAGTCTGCAAAGCATGTAAATACAGAGTTTTGAATTTCTTATAATACAAATAAATGCAATTGATGTTGACTGTACTCGAATAGTATAGAGCAGAGGTTCTCAATCAGTGGTACGCGTACCACTGGTGATACGCAAGAGAAAAATAGGTGGTACGCAAAGAAGCAAAGTATTTTTAACTATTAAATTCAAAAATGAAAATCCCAACATGCTGACTGAGTTTTTTCTCTAACATTCGTAAATTTATGCGATTTGAGCTTTGTTCAAGAGTTTTCAATTTTTGTTTAGATGGTACGCGTTAGTCAAAAGGTTGAGAACCGCTGATATAGAGAATTACATCTGTGTAAATGATTATAATATATTGTAGAAAACAGGAATAACTATGCCATATTTAGCCATCCAGATTTATTAGAATATTAGTTTTTGTTGAATGGCAGCAGTGGTGAGAGTTGTGAGAGTTGATTTAAAGATTAAACTGTTAATCAGTGACTAAACTAAGTAGAATAATTTATATATTACTCACCGACTTTTTTAATATTAATATACATATGATATTGATCTCCCTACCCCTGCAAAAAAATTTATACACTTTATACATATATAGATACATAGATATTTTATACACTTTTAAGACGATATAATACTATTTTTATTTTTCTCAAGTAACTGCATTGGAAAATTCTGCGTAGTATAGATAGTATTCTGCGTGTATGATATTGATCTCCCTACTCCTGTAAAAAATTTTATACACTTTATATATATATATAGATATAGATATATAGATATATAGATATTTTATACACGTTTAAGATGATATAATACTATTTTTATTTTTCTCAAGTAACTGCATTGGAAAATTCTGCGTAGTAGAGCTAGAGCCCTTTCATAGATACCTCCCTCATATGACCACCACTGAAGTGAGAAACGTTTCTGAAATCATCTTTGAGCATCTGTATTAGAAATCACATGTTTGGGACGACCAACTCTACAAACTGCCAGAATCCTCCGTAATCATAGTTATGTTTAAACACAATCTTGTTCTCTGATATTTCAGTTTATAATAAGCAGAGTTTCTTCATATGTTTTAATATTTATAGAAATTTATAGCAGATTTGACCTTTCTTTTCTTAACTGTGAAGATCTGCGAGATATGTTGGATATATTGGCTTTCTGAGTGAGATATCGAAGATTACTTTTCAAACGAAATTGCCAAAATGAACAAACCAAATATATCGTTACCTTGAAAAACTACCAATCCTATGCCAATCCCAGATATTTTAACTTCGAGTGCCTATATAACATATCCATCCCCACTTGCCTCCCACTTACGGAGGATGGAATTACTGCACTGATAAGTCAGACGGAGGTGCGGCCATGTACGCAATTACCCCATGCAATTGCAAGACAGAGCAAACTGTAAAGAGCACGGGGGAATGGAAGAAAATAAAGAAGAAAATGATTATTAGTACTTACTTCTTGTCCGTTGTTCGTCCAAAAGCTGCTTTTCGATACCTTCTCGGACCTCCCTCTCCCTTAGAAGTTCCATCTTGAGTTCGGCTGTGGAAAACAGAAGAAAAGAAGAATATAAATAAAAATTTCATGAATAAAGAGAGGAGTGGAGAAAGAAGGGAAAAGAAACACATTTGTTTTCCCCTCTCTTATAATTTCAAGTTCAATTTCGTAAGAGGCGTCATTATGTATATGAATGAGAATCTGCGTGTGTGGATTTCGGATACGCCTTGTTATTACTTCGCGAATTGTTTGATCTCAAATTGCGTTTTGCGGGGATGAGCTCTTCATTATACACTTGCAAAGCAGAATGCAGAAATCTGCCCTGAAATGGTTTTTGGACACAAAAGAGGACGTGGAATTCTGTCTTTGGGTGGAAAATTATGTGCACGTGGTATGCAAAACGGCTTCCATTAAAAGAAAGCATGGTCAAACCCGCTTGCTTCTCGGTTTGATATGAAACCAAGGGTTTAATGCATTTTCGGACATTGCAGAAAAATTAAGAAGGAAGAATGTGTTCAGTAAGGATTTTCCAAAATATATATGTAAGAAAATAAAGATTATGTAAAAGATTAAATTAGCAGCGTAAATTAATTTCCCTTCTCTATTCTAAAAATAGCAACATCTATTTGCACTGCGTCATTTCGAGAAAAATCTATGTCATATGACTCTTACATAATTCTGGTGATGTTAATTGAACTAAAACTCAAGCGGCCAATAATAATTTTTCAGCAATATTAACTATCCAATCAAAATGCTTTGAGAACCAAAACTAACTCCATTTGACTTTAGATTTCATTCTGAACATTACGCACTTTCTTTCCACGCTTTGGCCTAGCTATACAGCTGTCTGTCTGCTGCTGCTTTCTTGCTACAAAGTTATCAAAAATATAAGCCCTTTGGAACAGGCACATTTAATGTACCTACTTGTGTTTAAAATTATATATATATATATAGTCTTTATTAGTTTTAGTATTAAAAACAAGTCAAGTCTACAATTATTTTGTTTACTTTTATTCATAAATAATATAGCTTATATATGCATAATATTAAAATAGTATATCTATGTGTGTGTGTCTGTGTGTGCATGGTGAAAAAGAGGCAAATCAAAATTATAACTTAAATTAGAAATAGCCTTTTAATTCTTCATTTTAATTTGGGTGCTTCCCCCTCTCTGTTCCAAAAATAGTAATAAATTTTTCTGGACTACGTCATTTCTCAATTAATCCATTTCATTTATTTTACATAACGATGAGAAAGTAGTTAATTCGGAGCTCAAAATTTCGAGAACAGAGGCCTTTGTCTTAATAAGCTTCCATACTGGAGAAGTACGCCTTTGTTTTCTGCACCTTAACCCTAGATTGATTTCTGCTCGCTGTTTCTCATCGGTTTCCAAGTGAATTGTGGCCACAAATGTCAATTGAAATAAAAATGGATATTTAATCCACGTCGACTGCCAAGTTATGGATCAATATCCCCGTCATCAATATTTCTACAGCATGTTAACAGTATTTTATGACAGTTTAAGCTGTCTGCAGAAGACCGTTACATGAATTTGATATTTCAACTTATTTTTATGCTTGATGTTTGCTTCCTTTTTTGTTTTTATTTTTTACGAATTTTTTAATTTTTCTTGTATAGATCATTGATAAAATCCTTATGTAATTGAAAGAAAAGCATGCTAATTTGAACGTCCCTAATTTACGGAAAATTTACCCTTAGGTTATTTGACGGTTTAACTTTGAACTTTAACTTTGACCCTTTGAACTTTGGGTTAGTCTGGTATAGATAGCTCTTTTTTCAAAGTACAGAAGTATTCTAATAATTATTAATAAACTGATAATTACGGAAACAATATATTTTCCCAGTTACAAAATTTAATTATTATTGTATAAATTATCAATGCTTTTCAAAAATTAATCATAACATACCATTTTTGTTTGAATTCACTTGAGTAGCTCAAAACTTTTCATGTAAAACCTAAATATAACATAACCATAAATCTGACATTGAGTTTTTTACTAGTTTTAAGTGCAAAATTCTTATGTAAACAGAAAAATTTCAATCAGACAGAAAGAATAGGAAAAGTATTTACCGTTTATTGCCATTACTGCGCAGTTTTTTTTTTTTTTTTTTTTTGTTTGTTTTTGTTTTAATAATCTAAATGATTAATTTCCATTGCTTTCTCTTTAGCAATTTTTTCTTTTTAAAAAATTATCATTTTTTAATAAAATAGCATTTATTACAAACTAATTACTGGGGCCACAATAAGTACTTCATAAGTTTTAAGCAAGAGGATATACTGCTCCATCTTACAAGAATAAAATAAAATAGTACTACGTTTACTAACAATGCTTCTGATTAATAATATTATTAACATTTAAAGAAACATTTTAAAAGCTGTTTCAAATGCACAGCGATCCTTTTTATATTTTTCATGAGTATTTAAAATTCCTGTCGCAGTAGTCAATATTAAAGTGTGCAGATAAAATCGAAAATCCTTAGAAATTTCAAACTCATAGCCCCCATGTAATAAAGGAACATAAAATTCTTAATACTTAAATTAGATTTGTAAATAATCATCTTCCGAGTAAACAATTTTCAGCCATATATAAAGAGCGGCTAAATGCAATTTGGATACAGTCCCCCTTCGTAAGATCTCGGAAACAAATTTTTGATTTTGATAGCCGTAATAATATAACGATGCGATTACCGGCATCGAAATCTATCGTACTACGTGCGTGGTGTGGATCATTTTCATTCTTATCAAGTCCCTTCTACAGAACCATTTTCGGCTGTATTATTTCCACACCCCTCGAACAAACACTCCTTCTGCCGATCCTTCATTGAACAATTAATATGAAAAGAAACTTCAGCTCTTTATTTATGCCAAGAAATTTTGAGCCTCTTATGGCCTAAAACTTGTTGTTTAAATTTATTATTATTATCACAGAATTGAAGTGCTTTTTTTTATTGTTTGTTTACGTATAAAATATTAACTAATAAAGATAACTATAAATTCAAAAATAAAACCAACCTTTTATTGCCTATTAATTCCCAACGAAATTAGTTGCATTATTATAATATAGCATATACTAATATTCTAATATTTGGACAGAAATTCTTAAATATAATAACACGCCATGTCAGTATTAGAATACGTTAACTAATATCAGTTGCATGCGGTAGACTTTCTCTTAACCGGCTTCCGTTTGACCGAATTTCAGCTTTAACTGCCGCAATTTATGTACGAGAAAAAAAATTACAGAAATTGAAAATTCCGTAATTATGTGTTTTAAATACGAAATAAAAAATAAATAAATTAAAAAAAAAAACAACAGGTGGCTATGGGAAACAACAGGCATCAGTTTCCTCCATTCATGTGATGCTTCTAAAAAAATGGTGAAATTATGCAACGAGTCACTGAATTTCCAGCATTCAGCAGAAAGGAAAAAAAAAGGACTGAATTTTCTTAAATATTCCTACTAATGATATGTAAAATTTTTGTAATAAACACACACCTTTAATAAATGCTTACTTTAACCATAAAAAAAGGCATTTCTATCAATTAAATAATTTTTTTTTTATTCTCCGATTTAACTGGAATTTCGTTTAACCGGCTTAACTCCGTCTCATACAGGCCAGTTAAGAGGAAGTTACTGTATTAGTATTACGTATAAAAATTCGAGTGTAAATTGAAATTTCATTCATGATATCTCATTCCATTAGCAATCAAAAACTGGTTGCGTATTAATACAAAATCAAATCACATGAAACGAATCTACTGTTACGTATTAGTTTGGCTATTGTGAATGATATAAGCGTCTCTTTATAAATACAAATTAGTTACTAAAACAAACCTTTTCATTCAGTATAATATCATACAGTCTAACAAACTTCACAAATATAAGTTACAATTACTAAAATTTGTATTATATTAACTACTTTTTTCAGTATAGAACTACGAAATACTGCCTGCAACAAAATTCTAATCTTTCCAAAATTTGAACATGTGATTAAGTCTGACAGTGAGAAAAGATGCGGATAAATTCCAGGAAGTTTTATGAAATCAATTTAAATTTTATATTCTAAATTTCAGGAAAAATTCCTTCGAATTTTTTTTAGTCAATGAAACAAAATCCTATTGAAACTACATATGTTTGAAAGGGTCGAAACACAGCGAACAGCAATAGTTTTCTCATTTATTAAAATTTTTTTCAGCTTTATTTTTTTATTAAAAATAAAAGAAAGGGCAATCAAAAAGGTTTCCTTTTTCCATTTCCATAACCGTTTTCCGTTCGAAATCAATATTTAGACCACTTAGTTTAGAATCAAGCACTTGTACGGCATGATAAAAGCATAACGCCAAATTGCACACTGTGATAAATTTTACAATCGTAAAACCTAAAATTTTTATCATATTGCTACCAAAATGAAAATTAGTACCTTTTTGATAGAAATGTATTGTCGTATTTTGGCATTCAGTCATTGCTTTCAGGCAACAAAACAGCTGCTATAAGCTTAAGTGTATTAAAAAATTCCCTTCAAATTCAGAAGACAATTGTTTATGCTGCATTCAATTTAATATTACCAAACATCTGTTCCTAAATATAAAGTACATATGGCTGTAGCGTAGAAGCATAACCGCCCCCCCCCCAATCGCCGTGTGTCTATGACTTTTCAGTTTTCGTCGTCGTTTGAAAATACCCAAAATATCCAACAGAAATCAATCTTAAGCTCAGCTTGGATCGATGTTCACGATCGCCGAAAATAAATAAAACTTGAAAAAATTTATTAAAAAAAATCAAGTAAAACCCGCAAATGTCAAATACATAATACTCTTCCAAAAAAGGGAACACAAAAAAAAAGACCCCAGTATCCCCAGCCTCATTTTTTTTTTACATCCCCTACCAGGAATGACCAATGTAAACGACTAGATTGCTTGTGAGGGGATAACAGGTGACAAAATGCGTAGGTGGGTGTAAGGGGAGACTGCTTGCCACCTCTCTGCAGCTCGCATGATTAATGGGCATCGCATCTTTGTTGTT